GGAGTTGAGGATGGCTGCGTGCTGAGCAGGGAGGGACCAGGGGACGGCTCTCGGCAGGCTGGAGAAGGGATGTCTGTCAAACGCACCCCTGCCGGGAGGGGGGGTCCAGGACCTCAGCCCCCCACTGGGGCAGCGAGGAGGAACTGCTGCTGCTTTACTCATGCCGTGAATGCGTCAGGTCTCCCTAGGGATGGACTTGACTTTGCAGGCACCCTGCCACTGGCCACCCCGGGGCTCTCACGTGCCCCAGGCAGCGGTGGCAGCAGTGCAAGCGCAGATCCCAGAAGCTCCCAATACCTTTCTCTTCGAATCTGAGATTATTTTCCTATGGCAGGACACAGCTGGAGCCTGAGCAGGTCAGAAGTGGCTTCCTCTCGTGCTGCTGGATCCCAGTCCCCAGCCCAGGGGAGGGGGATGCTCAACAGACAGTGGTCCCTTTGGGTAGGACTAGCACATCCCACTGTGTGGAGGGCAAGAGCCATCCATGGGCCTGATGCTGGAGCACAGGTCACATCTCCAGGGTTCAGATGTCTCTGTTGAGTCAGGGGTGGGATCCTACAGCCCCAAAGCCCAGGGAGATGAGGGATTTTCCCCATCATGCTCAGTCAAATCCCCAGTGAGGTGGCAGAGAGCTGATCTATGGCTCCTTCTCCCACTTTCATGGGGGGAAATGTCCCATGCAGAGCTGCAAAAGGGGACAATTCCATGTGCCCCACATCCAGTGTGGTACCAGGAGAGCTGCTGTCTGTCTCAGGACCCACAGTAATGCCTCTTTCCCTGGATGATATCCTCTTGTCCTTCACAGGACAGTCTAGGTGTGCCTGTCCTTTTTCCTTGCACATGCCCTACCATTCTCCAACCTGTCCCCAACTGGTCCCCAGCTGCTTTGCTCAGGTTTAAGGCCGAACAGGCAGCACTGTGGATGTGGAGGACAATGACAGGGCCGGGACTGTTAGCAGAACCCAAACTGCTGGATGTAAGAGCAAATCTCCCTGACATCGTCGTGTTCCTATAACTCTCCACACACTTCTGAAAATTTTCCCTGAAAGGAAATGGATCCTGAACACAAAGACACGTTTCTGCAGAATCTAACATGATGAAGTGGCTCAGCGTTTGCACAGTGGGCCTTTCAGAGCTAACATTTACCCAGATTTCCCGGTGGGAAAGGAGGAAGGAGCAAACTGTGTAATCCCACAAACATCTTTTTTCACACACTCACAGCTTCCTCAAAAAAAAAAAAAAAAAGTTTATTTGAGAATTCACCCATCCAGGTTTCACCTGCCTTTGACCTCTCCCTCTGCTGGGATGCCAGTGGGGAACGTTGAGCCCTGAGCTGGCCAGGCTGGTGGCCAGGGGCCACCTTGGCCACAGTCCCAGCCTCACCCTTCCTGTTTGGGGCAGGGATGCTTTGTTTGCCTTTTGTGCCTGCGTGATCTGAATCACCCCTTTGGGTTTTTCACTCAGGATCTGCCTAAAAAGAAGTGTCCCATGGCCACCACTGAAGCACAGGAGGAGAGAGACTGGTGCCACCTTGTTACAGCTGCCCCAACCCCGTGTCTCCAGCATGAACTGAGCCCTGCACAAACCACCCAGCCTTCCCTGGGTGGACTTCAAGCCCCTGACTTCTTGTCTGCAGGGTAGTATCTACCAGCAGAGACATCCAGAGTTGACACGACCCTAAAATGTCCATGTTGATACCACTGACAGTGGGATGCTCTGTGTCTGGAGATCTCCTTTCTGGTTTGGCTGGTGCTGCTCTGGTAGCACCACCAGCTCTCCATCTCCTGGGACCACCTGGGAGTAGACACTACTCTGGTCATCTGGGGGGCTCTAGCACCTCATTGCAGAGCTTACTCAAGTCTGGCTTTGCCCTGGAGCTGGTGAGACCCACCTGATGGAAGAGCACCCACCAGAGGCAGTAGGAGCTGCAGGGGTGTTCCTGTGAGGAGCAGTGCAGCCCAGGGACCCCAGAAAACCCAGGAGAGCTCAGGTGGAGGATGATGGTCCCCTGCCCTGATGCCCGGGAGCACACACAGGACTTGCAAGCATTTTCTAGTGAGTTTTCCTTTCTCCCATCCCACCCCTGGGACATCAAATAAACCTTTCCCCACCTGGGGACTGAAGTGCAATGAGGGGGTAGGGCTGCAGGAGAGCAAACACACATCTCTCCATCCCAACGCAGTGCCCAGCAGGCGCTGGCACTGCCTGACACAGGTGGTAAAGGAGAGGACAGCACTCCGGCTGGGGAAATACCCTTGTCCCCCCCTGCTCAGGCACTGCCCACCCTCATCCCGGCGGCAGCCACCCGGGAAGAGGCGAGAAGGGAGCTGACAGCAAGATGGGACCGTGCCCAGATCCGCTCCGCAAGACACGAGGACAGTGACAACGGCGGCGGCGCTCCAGTTAGTCACCGCCGGGAAGCGTGCCACGCCGGAGGCTGCTAGCAGCACGGCAGTGTTTTCGGCCACCTGGTGTGTTGTGGCCTTATTCTGATGACGATTTCAAGATTTCTCCCAGAAAGGGTGCAGCCGGGCAGCGGGAGCCGGTGGGAAGCGCAGAGGAAGGAACAAGAAGAAACTGTGGGGGTTTGTTTGGGACAAATCCCCAGGGTCACCTGGCCATGGAGCCAGGCTGTCCCCGTAAGGACAAGGCTCCATGTGGGGCTGTGGGACATGGGAGGCGGCTGCTGTGGGTGCTAAAACCAGGTGCCTGTCACCTGCCAGGGGGTGCAACCGTCAAGGGGACATGTGTCCAGGAGGTTAGAATCACAGAGAATGGTTAGAGTTGGAAGGGACCTTAAAGATCACCAAGTTCCAATCCCCCTGCCATGGGCAGGGACGTGTACCATTAGACCAGGTTGCTCAAAGCCCCATCCAGCCTGGCCTTCAACACTTGCAGGGGTGGGACATCCACATCTTCCCTGGGCAACCTGTTCCAGTGTCTCACCACCCTCAAAGTAAAGAATTCCTTTCTAGTGTCTAATCTAAATCTCCCCTCTTCCAATTTAAAACCAAGGTCCCAACCCTGGTAGGGTAATGGTGTCCACCAGCCCCTTTCCTGGTTCTGGGAAAGGACTCACCCATCCCTGCCCAAACGACGGCTGGAGGAAGGCAGAGGAGGACATGGGAGCGGGGACGCAGCAGATGCATTTCGTCACCCGGCCAAGGGGCGTGTGTGTGTGTGTGTGTGTGTGTTGGGGGAAGGGGTGGTTGGGTGTGTGGGCACATTTATTGCCTCTTCCCGCCAGCGCCGGCTCCCTGTGCACACACGGGCGGCAGGGACCCAAGGGCACAGCCCACGGCTGGCTGGACTTTCACCCTGCTGTGCAAACAGGCAGGCGCCAGATTAGGGTATCAGTTGGAATTTCATCCTGTCAACGGCACCCGCAGCCTCTCCGGGTGGGCGGCGGAGCATCTTCCCTCCAGCCCAGCCCCTTGCCCACCCACAGGCACCCCAACACAGCGAGTCAATTTGGGAGAGGCACATTTCACCCCTCTCTAGGACTCTGTTCCCCTTCAAGCTTCCCCCCTCCACCCCGAACAAGACCTTGCAGGCCATGGTGATGCCCGGGGCTGGGCTGCCACCACCCCGTCCCCTGCCAGGGCAGGATCCCACCAGCCCATCCCCATGTGGCAATGACAAAATTGGACGTCAAAGGCAGGCAAAGCCTGGCGAGGGACGAGGAAGCGTGTGGAAGAGCCAGTCCCTGGTGTGGAGACCACAATGGAGCCTCTACACAGAAGTGGATCCCAGTTTTCCCATTCCACCCCAGCTCTTTGGGCAGGTGGTCCATCCAGTCCCATCCCTTTTCCCATGCAGCTCAAGCTCCATTTCACTTGCCTCCCTCAGCCTGTTTTAGCTCCTGATGCCCCACATGTCCTTGCAGGGGTGCAGGGAGGTGGTGGTCCCACGCTACAGGCAGCCCAGGCACTGTGCTGGTGAGCACAGTGTCACCAGGGTGCAGCAGTAGGTGCAGCCACTCTTGCAAGGCCAGGAAAAAGCCTTTTGCCCTGTCAGTTTCTCTGTCACCTCACCTTTCCCCTGCTCCTCGATGTCCTCCACCCATGAGGACTTTATCCTTCATCAGGTGTCCCTCCACAGCTACCTGCCCTGCCTGGGCACCTTGGCACCCATGTTCCCATGCCTTTTCAAGCAATGCTTGGTACATTTTGGGGCTTGAGGAGCTGTTTTGGGCAAGGATTGAAGGGCAGTCCCTTGCTCAGTCCTCTGCAGGACTGGTGGGACGTGGCTGGGATGGAGAGAGGAGAGCATCGGGCACCGATGCCAGCTGTCCCAGGCACTATCTCACATCCTCATTCTCTGTTTGCTCTTCTTGGACAAGGAGGATATTCAGCCCGTCAACAGCCATAAAACAAGATTAGAGGCCAGGAGGCGCCAATGGGAGGTGGCCACGTCTGTGGGCAGCTGGCCTTGTTCTTTGGCCTCCTCCAGCACGAGCCCAGCCTCACCCTTTTCCCGGCGGCCCCGGGGCTGTGAGTTTGCAGCCACTGTGTCGCCCGGCATGGCCAACCCTCTCGGTGGCAAAGGCCATACCACCCCCAGCCATGCCCCTGCGGGATGGGCACAGGGGCAAGGCTGCTGCATCGAGACATCCATCTGCACCATTTTTGGTGGGGCTGGGCAAGACCCCTCACTCCCAACCCCAGCCACATTCAAGAGCATGGTCACCACTGCCACCCCGGAGCTGGCATCCCTCCTCCCTTTCTGAGGAGACAGCAACAAACCCGTGGCCCGCGGGATTCCTGCTCGCTTTTATTTTCACCGATGCCTAAAAAATAAAAAGGAAAACCAGTTCTGCCTTATATACACAAAAACTGAGCCGAAGTCCTGAGCCAATGCAAACAGTCGTCCTCACCACCAAGCACAGCTGGCAGTGGTGGCCGAGGGAGGTGCCAGTGGTCCCTGCTGGAGGGAGACCCAAGCCCTGTGAGAGCTGGAGCAGGGTGATGGGTGCAGTGGGATGATCTGGGCACCTTGTTTTCTGGGCCATGAAGAGCTGGAAACGGTGCAAGGCTGGAGGCAGCCAGAGACGAATGGTTCTGTGAGGAACACGATGCATTGCCATGTTGGGTGCAATGTGAGGGCTCAGTTGGGCACTCTGCAGGCAGCTGAGGACACATCTGCTGCTCCACCTTTCTGGAACTCAGAGAAATGGTGTTGGAAAAGGCCATGCAAGCTGCCATGTGGGTCCCAAAAGCACCAGGCAGCTGGAGTGCCAGGAGGACCGAAGGAAGCATCCCACCAGCTCCATCTGAAGCAGCATAGGAAAGCCATCCTCCACCACCACCACCTTCCTTCTGCTGACATTAGGACCTTGCTTTGGGTTGCAAACACCAGAGACCAGACTGGTGCATGTTTCCTACAGGAGAGCAATGCTACCTAACCTATGGTTTTTATGTAGGAGAGAGCCCCTTGTGAAGGTCCCAGTGCCTCCTTGCCCAGCCTTGCTGGCCACCCCATTGGTTCATCCAGGGACCATTGTGTCTTTGGGAAGGGGCTGTCACTCTTCAGAGCACACGGACCGGCTGGGCTCTGCTACATAGTGCTTATCTCTTGGTGTCTGTAGCTGGTGAAGGGGGTTAAGGCATGAATTCCTCCTTGATAGTCAGCGGAGATGAGGAGACGAGGTTCGGGGCGCTGCTGCTGCAGAGACCTCCGATGGGTCCCGGCGTGCCAACGGTTGGTGGGGTTGGTGTGGTGGTGCTGGTGGGCTGGCTTTGCTGCTGCATCTTCTTCTTGTTCACCTTCCTCTCCTTCGCCCTCCGGTTTTGAAACCAGATTTTCACCTGCAGAAAGACAAAGACAGCAATGCAGAGATGGGGACAGATCCATCCAAGGATGACAGTCCTCAAGGGTCCCCCAGGGCATCCTTGAGTTTGGAAGAGGAGGGGGAGATGCAGAACAAGGTGGGACCACCGCTACCTGCTGGGGATGCAACCCTTCCCCTCCCCAGCCCCATCTCCACCCAGGACATGGGTTTTCCTGGGAGACTGTGGAACTGACCTGCCGTTCGGTGAGCCCGAGGGCAGCGGCCAGCTCGGCCTTGCGGCGGATGGTGATGTAGCGGCTGTAGTGAAACTCCTTCTCCAGCTCCAGGCGCTGGTGGTCCGTGTACACCACCCGGTACTTGTCTTTCGTCCTGGTCTTGCCTGCCAGAGAGATGAGAGCGGGGGTGAGCCAAGAGGGGACATAAGGGAGGGGTAGGAACGTCACCGAGGACATGGAGCAGCTACACAGCCACCCGTGGAGAGCTCAGGAGAAAGGTGGCAATGCCCTGGGAATCAGTGGAATAGCGAGTTGTGAGGGTCCTACTGGATTTAATGTCCATCTTGGGTAGCACCAGGGTATTTCTCCGTGTTGGAAAACAGCCGGGCACTGGAGAAATTACTTGGTGGAAAGAGAAGGAGGGATTTAGAGGCATCATGAAAAGACAGACCATAAATACCATGTTCCATACCACCCCAAAAGGAACAGAGCTGCAAGCCCTGCAGTGGGCTGATGGCAAACTACCGGCAAAAATATAGCCTGGGAGGGATGGGGGAAGTCCAGTTCTTTGCCAGGATGCCCAAACCCAAGGTGCCATCACTTGAAGGCACATGGATCAGAACAGGGGAAAGAGGAAACCCAGGAATGACAGCATTTCTCTGCCACCATGAGGGTTATTTTCCTTCTCTTGATACTGAGACCGGACGAAGGGCAGCAGCAGATCCACTTGGTGCAGAATTTAAAGATGCACTGAAGAATGCCCACAAGGTGCACAAGCGTTCCCAGGGACCAGAGCTGTGGGCCATCCCTGCCAGCCAACCCAAATCTCGCCTTGGGGCCCCCGAAATACTGACAGAGCTTGGGGCCGTTGAGCCCCACATCTCCCCTCCCTGCAAGGCAGCATTTGCCACTTTCTAGCAGAACAATATAGTCAAAACCAACCCAGCCACCTTCTCAGTTAGCTCCTTTATTAAATCACGTGCTTGCAGGGCGAGCTGCAGAGCAAGAGCCAACAGCTTGAGCTCTGCCTGGGCTGGGGGCTGCAGTGGGTGCGGGTGGCACTTCAAGGAAGGATGCTCATGACCAGCAGTTTGCTGACAGGTCCCTCGTGCTTTCCTCTGCAGGAGAGCCCACGGGCAGGGAATAAACACAGCTGTGAATGTTTGTTTCTCCACCCAAAATAACAAAATGCCATTCCATGGTGTCGGGAGGGACAGAGACGTGCTTTCAGCTGAGAAGCCACTGTCCTTCCGACTGGGAACCCGGCCATTTGTTTTCCTGGCAGATACATTTGCCCATCTTCTCCTGAATTTCTGCTGCTGAGATCGATGCCACCATGGAAATGGCCAGGAGCAAGCCCAGAACAGCTCCATGGATTTCCCTGGGGCTGCCCTGGTTGTACCAGCCTGGACAGGATCCTGGCCATCAGTGCTGCAGATGAGCAGGGAGGGATTTCCAGTGACCCAGAAACCCTACTAACCTGGCTTGCCTCCTTCTTCCCCCAGGAAAGGGGATCTTTGTGTGCTTGCCATCCTGTTCGTTTGTTTCCCTTGGCATATCTGTTAGTTTGGACCAAATATGGTCAACACCTAGACATCTCAGGATGACACAAATCAAAATGTGCTTCAAAGACTCCAGAGTGGACTCAACCCTAATCAGACATCAGAGAATCTCCACATAGGAAAGCTCCAAGCCCCAGGCTGCAAATCTGCTTCTCAACGAACTCCCTTGCAAGGAGAGGGGGACTTTCCTAAGCCACCTCTGACACTGAAAGATAAATGTAAAAGAGCATCAGCGGCAGGACAACCCACAGCCACAGTACACTGTGAGTGGGAGAGGGGCTCTCCTGGGTTCATTCCCCTTGCAGCATCCCATGGGATGCCAAAAGGCAGCTGATTTTTTTACTAAATAAGCAAAATCCAGCAAAGGTTTAGCTCCTGCAGTTGGCCACCGAGCGAACCACGCGTGGAAGCGCATGAGTGTGAGTGCACCCCTGGGTGCACATGGGAGCTGGGGTGGGCACGGGAGGTGTCTCACCCTGCTGGGACTTGACCCCAGTGCTCCCAAGAACAAAAGCAACCAGCCATGCAATTCAAGATAGCACCCAATTTCCATGACTATGTCGCTCTTGGTGTCCTCCTGACATTTCTCCTGGAAGTAGGTGCTGTCATGGGCTCAGCACAACGTGAGCAGGGTGGTGCCAGGGGCTGGTCAGGATGGCTGAGGGTCCCCAAGCAGCACCAAAAGAAGGAGGGTAGAAACACAGCAATGAGTAGGAACCATATCTCCCAGCACCAGGACTGGGCTTTAACCACTAACTCATAACTGAGGGATGTGAGAAATTAAGCCCCCACTGTAGAGAGCAGGGAGCCCAGCTCATCCCGGGGCTGTTTGGAAATGAACACATAATCCCCCTTCACCATTGCTGAGAGCAAACTGCCCCTGGCCACACAAGGTGACTCTGCAGGTAAAAACAGGGTGAAAAAGGTAATTTGATTGAGCAAGATGTGTTTGGAGATGTCTGCAGACACGTGGCTGAATCGCAGAGATTTAGCGCAAGAGGGATCTACAACAGCATTGCTGGGTGTTTGTCTCCTTTTGGGTACATATCGTGGTGGCTTGAAACAAATTCAACCAGTGCTGGGCTGGAGAGATGCTGGGGTCACCTGGTCCATGTGGGACCCCACACTGTCCCCTCATTACCACGGGACCTCTGCCTTTCCTGTGGGGGGGTCACTGCTTCCTCTCACCACCCCACAGGGGAAGGGTTCATCAGCGTGAGAGTTTGGAAATGAACACATAATCCCCCTTCACCATTGCTGAGAGCAAACTGCCCCTGGCCACACAAGGTGACTCTGCAGGTAAAAACAGGGTGAAAAAGGTAATTTGATTGAGCAAGATGTGTTTGGAGATGTCTGCAGACACGTGGCTGAATCGCAGAGATTTAGCGCAAGAGGGATCTACAACAGCATTGCTGGGTGTTTGTCTCCTTTTGGGTACATATCGTGGTGGCTTGAAACAAATTCAACCAGTGCTGGGCTGGAGAGATGCTGGGGTCACCTGGTCCATGTGGGACCCCACACTGTCCCCTCATTACCACGGGACCTCTGCCTTTCCTGTGGGGGGGTCACTGCTTCCTCTCACCACCCCACAGGGGAAGGGTTCATCAGCGTGAGAAGGTCTTCTGCATCCCAGCCCAGGAGGCACCTGTGCTGAACTTGCAGACACAGCAATTCCTGGGGAGTTACAGAATAAACCAGAGGCGCCGGCGGAGATTTATGCTGGGTTTAGCAGCTCCGTGAGAAACCAGGATCCCTCTGTCTGCTCCAGCCTCAGGGACTCCTACAAGATTTTTATTTTCTCATAGAAATTTATCTTTTTTTTTTTAATATTATTTTTATTAGAAACCAAAAACCTTTCTGAAGAGATAATGACTTAAAAATTATCTTATTTGTAATACTGCTATTTGAATACCACTGCTTGGAGAAAAAAAAACAGCCAGAAAGCAAAGGAATTGACAGATAAAGTAAAAAAAATAAATTAAAGAATAAAGAATTAAGGCGGTTTGTGAATAGTACATATGCCATGAATTTCAGCAGGAATTATTATTTCCTGCCTCAGCTGTAAATAGATCCATCACAGCTTGTTCTTTGTTATTCCCTCTTCACCGTTCATCCTTGGTGAAGCCTCTGCTTTGCCTCAGGCCTGGCAGGTCTCTGGCCAGGCTGGTGAACCATCACCGTGTGAGCTGGGCACCAGTCTCTCACTGCCCAATATCAGGCAGCAAAGACCCAAAGCAGAGAGCTTAAGACCAAGCCAGAGATGGAAAGTTATTCATCTCGACTAATTGCTGGTTTCGACGATGTCTGCTGAATTCGGGAAAGTATTCTGGGTGATTCACAAGGAAAAAAAAAAAAAAAAGAGGGTTTGCAAGAAATGCTGTTGTCAATGAATAATTCAGCTACCTTGAATATGAATGCTGGGTTACACTTAACTCTCTCCTGGAGACTTTTTATGGCTCTGTGAAAGGAAAGAGGAAATTTGGGACGAGCCAGCCCAGCTCCGTATGGGAAGCCCTCCTACCTATGGGGAAACCCAGGCGCTGCAGCGGGAAGGGAAGGGCCAAAAAGAGGGATGGAGCTGCTCCTGCATTTCCAGTGAAGCCCATCGGAGGTGGATCTGGCTGTCCCACAGCCAGGAGGGAGCATGGACAGGGTGCACAGGGTGCAAAGAGGGTGCTGGTGGTACCTCCTATGTCCTTGAAGCCCTGCTATGCAAATAATTCAGCTACCTTGAATATGAATGCTGGGTTACACTTAACTCTCTCCTGGAGACTTTTTATGGCTCTGTGAAAGGAAAGAGGAAATTTGGGACGAGCCAGCCCAGCTCCGTATGGGAAGCCCTCCTACCTATGGGGAAACCCAGGCGCTGCAGCGGGAAGGGAAGGGCCAAAAAGAGGGATGGAGCTGCTCCTGCATTTCCAGTGAAGCCCATCGGAGGTGGATCTGGCTGTCCCACAGCCAGGAGGGAGCATGGACAGGGTGCACAGGGTGCAAAGAGGGTGCTGGTGGTACCTCCTATGTCCTTGAAGCCCTGCTATGCATATAAAGCCCCTCCTGATTGTCCCCAAAAGACCAGGAAAAGGAACTGCTCGGGCAGCCAAATGGAGCCATTCACGGGGCCAGTGGGAATGGTTTGGGCTTTGGGATCAAGGCAGGGCCAATGGCTGTGTGGGGAGAAGGTATCGTTACCGCTGTTAATGGATAACCCTAATAGCACTCACCTGAGCCGTGATTAGATAAGGGAATAGCTTTAATGTGCTGTGCAAACCCCAAAGGACGCACTCCTGAGTGTACATGCACACACACTCGCACACATGCGGGGGGACGGGGTCCCGACCCCCAGCCCGGATCTGCTCCCCAGGCCTGATCTGCCCCAGGGATGGGGATGCTGGAGCTGCTGCCCTGGACCGGATCAGGAGCCTGGCAGGGGAAGGGAAAATCAAACCATATCCCTGTGCCCAACATCCCAGGCTCTGTACCCTCATGGCCATGGCAGAGGCTGCCAGGGAGGAGGTAATTAAGCCTGTCCAGCCCTGACCTGCCCAAAGGATGGCTTGCAATAAGAAACTATCCCCCAAATACCCTAACAGAGAGGTAACATG